CCTCATTGGATAATTTTAAAAATCAAATCATTTGAAATATTTATAATTTATTTTTAAATGTGATTGGCCTAGAGATTGGACTCGGCACAAAAATCATTACCAGGCTACAAACTAAGTCGTTTCTAATAACCCGAGTGACCCAGTTATCATGTATGAATTGACCAATCTAATGTCGATACTACTTAGAAACATATCTATATGACTATTTTCTACTTGCTGTCTTGTCAATGGCTTTGCTAACTGTGACATTTTTTCTAATACGTATTTATTATTATTTATCATTTATTTTTTATTCGTATCAACTTAGTCAATAATGATTATTTGTAAGATAAGTTTATTTTAAAACCTCTAAATAGAAATATTTTGAGACATGTTTTTTATAGAGGTTTAAAATATTTTATTTTATTTTATTTATTAAGTGTACACTTAGGGGAGTGTTACTATTAAAAAACATCCAAGAACAATTTTATTACGGCCAGAAGTTGATGTAACATCTCACGGAAGTAACACGAACAATGAAATTTTACATAATAATTCCCCCTCTAATTAAAGCCAAATTTGGAGGATGTTAGGGAGCGGTCTCAATAAAGCTAGTATTTCATTTCATATATAAAAATGAGTTCTGCTTTTTTTATGGGTAGATTTATTCCCTCTTTCGTTTTACACGAGAGGAATCACGATAAATTGAATTATTTTTGGCAAACTAACCTAATGAAAATGAATACTTTATTTATCATTATTTTTCTTTTGTTTTCGCGTTGTGTTAATGCTGAGGATATTTATTCCTCTACTGTAAATGATACTAATTTAAACACGAGTAAGACCAAGTTCATAAACTTTCAAGAATAATAAATTAATACGCGATGATTGATGAAAATTTTTTTTTTAGCTTCAACTACTAGCCAAGCTATTGTTCCTCATCATCCACTCACCTATATAGATATAGTTTTTGGTATAATCTGGATAATTATAGGATTGTTTCAATGTTTTTATGGATATAAATTCATAAGAATTACAATGTTCTTTGTCGGATTCGTTTGGTTTGGTAAATTTACTAAGGTTTTATACATTTTAAAATTCTGAATGACTTAAGTTTTTTTATTAACAGTTTCTCAATTTTTTTGAAGCTTTTATTGCGTATCTTATTGCTGACTATCTTTATGGAACTAGCCCTGCCTATTCTTTTTTTGTAATAATATTAATCTCTGGGCTTGTCGGTGCAATTATATGTTTCTTTTTATGGGAGCTATCTATTTTGTTAATTGGTGGTTATGGAGGGTAAAAAAAAAAATTTCATTTTTTTTTCTTTATATGCAATTTAAAAATCATACTATTTAAAATCCTGCTAATATACGTATTTGCTGATTTATAGACTTTCACTAGGATTGGCTCTCCTTTCTATAGCACGTATAAATAATTATATTGTTAATATTATTATTTTAACCATTTTGGTCTTAATCGGTGCTATTTGTATAAAACTTTTTGAGAGATATGCAATTATTGCTACAACTTCTATCGGTGGTGCATTTGCAATTATATGGGGAATTGATGATTTTCTTCAAACAGGGTTTCAAACACTTTTTTTAATATTATTTAAAAAAGAAAATTCTTATTTTGAAGCTGATTGGAAAGTATACGTTCTTTTAGCATGTTGGATTTTGTTAATAATTGCAGGTATTGCTTGGGAATTATATACACATCAGGAAATGGTATTACATCCAACAAATATTTTTCTTTGGTGTGTTTGTTGGTCAAAAAGACACAAACATGATGATGAAAAGTCACAAATGAGTACCAAAGATATGAATAATTCAGAGAATTTGGCTTAGAAAAAATAAGGGGAAATTACACATCGGGACCCAAATTTGAAAATAATTATGAATGAGGGCCCAACTTAAAAATATTTATTTAT